ATTCTGCACACTTCCTGTCTTGTTCTCTCTCTGGGGACTCACATGAGGCGTAACTAGACGGCGAATATTTTGGCCTGGGCCTCCGTTATAACAATTTGGCGACGCAATATCTAGGCCTGGGCCTCCGTTATAACAATTTAGACCCTATTAACCAAATTTCACTCTAGAAAGATCAAAGACTAGTATTGTAGAAATAAAGGACAGGACCACGTGCGCAATCTTAGAATGATTCATTCAGAACAGAGGTTTTTATACTTAGTCCGCAGGATGTACTCCATGTTCGTGAATTAATTTTCGATAAACTAAAGTGGACAATGTTGAAACTGGAGTACATTTACTGGGAAATATGAATGACCTTCGGATGAGCCGTACAGCAGCAGACGATCAGCGAAGCACATGTCTGGGCTTTTGGCGAGTGCCCGTGCAGCCAGTACGGTAAATCTTTCTGTATATGTAAAGGACGAGGCTTTCAAGTATAGCCAAGTGCCCAGAACGGACTTGAAAAAGTCATGCAATGCAAACGTTTTACGCCTCGGGCAAAAAGCCTTTAGAAGAAGCTAAAATCACTCCACGAGACTACTAAAACCACCTTGCTTTAAGGACTGTTAAAAATATGCAACTGGTGTTTTTTGTCTTAGTTATACATCTCTTCCAAAGTCCCTAATTCGTTGGGATAATTTGTCGTAAAAATTATGTATGCTTACGCAGAAAAACATTTTATCTTAGCAATATCGCTGATAGTTAAGTGAGGACTTTTACTGACCTTCCAAAAATGTTTATGGTCGGGATTCTACGTGACAGCCATCCAGCCATACTAACAACCATACTAACTTCGGTCGAGGGACACACTTTAAACTGCATATAAATCCTTCAATGTTAAATAATCGACGGGAAGACTTACTCGTAGGCGAAATACGTAGACCATATTTCAAATTCCCGATTGGCTTTGGAACACTAGTTACATTGGACTTCCATTGCGTATTGCTCATTTAAAGAGTGCCTTACTGGTTTCATTGTACAAACACTAAGTGTGTTTTATCTTTCTATTGTAGATGACAAAGCGAACGGAGGTGAGCGAAGCATTTCGTATAATCGCATGACATCATGTCCTCTTTCAAAGTTTTTTAAATCATGCCTGCCTGCCGAGTAATTAACTTTTCCTCAATTGTAGAATACGAGACCGAAGGACCACAAAAGTCCAGTATTCCAAAACTCACCTCGAAGCCCGAAAACAAGACTGCAGAGCCAGGTTTGTACATCAGTCAACCTTTTCCAATTTTGTTTTTCCGCTAAAATTTGCCAACGGTTGAGATGTTTGATCTGAAGTTTCATAACCTCGACACGGTCCTATTCCTTCCACGAGCTGAAGTCTGATCAATTGTATTTTCTAAATGTAGGCTCAACGGTCATAATCAAACTTGGCTACAACGGTGGTACAACCGCGCCCGTGGTGAAGTTTCTGAAACGTGGTCTGGACGTCACCACCGACTCCAGAGCTGTGGTTCGCGTGGACACTTTTGGAAAGACTGTTTCCATGACTCTTCGCTCAGTCAAAGCTGAAGATCAAGCTCTGTACACAGTTCAGCTCCTATCGGGAGGCAAAGTCTGCGACACGGCCTCTTTTAGCCTCAATGTAGAGAAGAAGTAAGCGTTATTTTGCCCTAGTTATTTTATTGATTTATTAATTCTACCGTTAAATATTTTGGGGAGAATTTAAAAAAATATTCTCACTATTCAACCCTATTATTTGTCCAAATTCGATCCTATTTTTAGATTTAAAAAAGCATAACCAGCAGGTTGGCTAGTGTTCTATGTTCTCAGAATGCCTAATGGGAACTGAAATTGAAATATTATTAATTATTAGAAGTCTTAGACGCATAAAGGCAATTTTTTCCGTATTCTCATGGATTCCACCACTGTCGGCCGTGAGGAAGTTCGCCTTGTGTTCCTAACCGCCCCTAAACAGACATAACTGAAATACTGACTTAGTCTTAGTTGATCAATCGGATATCTGACTCGTAAATTTTAGAATTCACTCTTTACCTAGAAGGTGCAACTCCGTGAAAACACTGGCTATCGAACTTCTTATTTCCTGGTCTCCAAGTTAATTTAAGGCAGTGCAAAACAGTCAGAGAAGCATACTTACAGCTTTTTTATAATTTCCGCAGAAATCAATTTCTAGCTTGAAGTAGATCGGTATATTCAGGACTGTATTGGTGTAGACCTAAATTTGGTGTGAATAGTTGTGCCTCTGTGGGACAACCGCATAATATTCATAATCAGCCATCAGGCGGTCAGCATTATGACCTACGTAATTATTGACCATACTTGCAGTACAAGTACTACTTAAACGCCCAGACACGTGTTCCGCCGGTATTCTGCCACTGCTTGACACAACTTCGAGGGGTCCGCCGCATCAGTGGGCCCCCCCCAGCATTTCCTCTGTGTTTTCTGGTAGATACTCCAGTTTTGGAGGTTGTTTCTACGGCAGAGCTGTCCAGCAGGGTTCAGTTGTCCAGTAAGCAGGGTCTTATCCTGCCAATACAAGTGAACGTGTGTCTCGGGAAGTAATTGAGAAGAATCACATGCGATTCGCCTGACGTTTATAAATTCGCCGCGCATCCATCATCAAAGGTAATAGCAGAAACAGAAAATTCCTACACAGGGAGTTGTAGTATTTGTAGGATACAGTCACTATACTCCTGCATACTTATGACAATTAACGGCTCTCCTCTATCGAAGTTAATGGTCTGGTTTTGCGCTTATTGCTTGATGGCCGGCATGCGGGTCCTGATCTGCTGAACTTTCATCATCCGGGATGGACTTGGGCGCGATGATTGCTCGGCCTTCTGCTTCTCTGGAGCTAGCGGTAGACGACGCGTGGGCCTCTGCGTTCCCCGCCGCGTCCTCTATAAACTGCAACCCTATTCTGCTATTGTTTATGATGAGGGACCGGCGATGGATTTCGAAACGTCAGGCGAATAAAATTCTTTTCCTACCGATCACATCTTCTCAGGGTCTTATCCACTTTCACTCTGATGCCGCTGGCGCTGCTGATCTCGCTGCGGCATTCAGTGGTTAC